AGGAGCCCAAGACCTTATTCTAATTCTTAAGGCCCCGACATTAGGGTTTAGGGGTTACCTCTCAGGGGTGTCTCAGGGTTTTAAACCTTTAAGGGTTTAGGGGCTCGGGAGGTTTAGGGTTTAAGGTTTAGGTCCATAGGCCCGGCCACGACGATGAATCAAGCCCCAAGCCTCAAAACGATGCTAATACCACAAGCCATACCTCAAACTACCATAGCCTACTTTTTTTGAAGTTCGTATGATAATCCCGAATATAGAAGTTATAGGGACACTACAATAAAATGGGTTTTGGTAGGCGAAGGTAAGCTTTACTGCAAGCTCCGAAAGGGTCAGGGTTCCGCCCATTCACCGCATCGTCCAAAAGAAGGTCGCGGCTTTTCCACCGCCTTGAAGCCTGAATCTCTAGGGATCGGGATGTGAAGTTCCGGTTGGGCTCAAGGGTTTGGGTGTAGGTTCGTGGGTTACAGGTTTCACAAGGTTTAGGTTGAAGGTTGAACAGTTTAAAGTTGTTGGGTGTATAGTGTAGTATAGTGCTTTGCAGGTTTCATGTTGATGAAACAACCCTAAACCCTAAACCCCCCAAATCCTAAACCCCTAAACCCTAAACCCTAAACCCCAAACCCCTAAACCGCTAAACCCTAAACCCTGACTGGAACCATGGGGCCACTCCGGTTGATTTTTTCTGGTATGTCAGCTCTCATCCCCTAGACCACTTGGAGGTTCATGGGTAGTTATAAGTGGGTAGTTATAAGTGGTAGTTATAAGTAGGGTCTAGGGTTTAGGGTTTAGGGGATAGGGTTATAAGTAGCATGGCTATAGTTATATAACCTATATCAGGAGACGTATATCTCCACTGTTAACTACCCATGAACCTCCAAGCACCTCACCCTCAACCCCTCAGCCCTTGTGCTCCCTCGCATAACACCCTTTAGGGGGAGGAAAACCGAAGCCCTACTCTAAGTATTAAGGCCCCTATGTTATAGAACCCTTATGGTAGCCCTAGGGTATCCCTTTTAAGGAACCTTAAACCCAGTGCTCTGCGCCACGTCCTTCACTGGGACGGCCCCAAAGCTTCATCCCGGAACTCGAAAACCCCTAATCCATTGCAGAACCCCTGGAGATCCCTGATAGGAATCCTTATAGGAGCCCTTTTAGGGTTTAGGGTTTAGGGGGTCCCTGATAGAAACCCTTATAGGAGCCCTTTTAGGGACCCCAGTCCCAAAGACGAGCCAAGTTGGTAATGCAGAGCAGAGGCCTGTACAGCATCGTGCACGACTTGGAGTCACCTGGAGTGGTTCAAGTTGGGGTATATACATAGGCTTTAGGGTTTAGGGTTTA